GCTACTTAATACATCGCTGAAAATATGCGCCTTTCTAACTAAAGTGTCACGCCTCATCACGGGAATGTTTAACCGTCTAAACGGAAAAAGTATACCCCCTAAGTAAAGTTTCGGACTCCTCTATGACTCCCTTAAACGGATGTCATAAAGGTGGCGCTGGCATCGGCTGGTACTGCTAGTTTTAACTTTTCTCATAGATGACGTTAACTGTCACAGCCTTTTTTCGGGTCAAACTTTCCGCTCTTTCTATGAAGGTTTGAGGAATCTTGTCTTTCTTTAATAATTTTTACGAGTTTGGCAGCTTGCGGTATAAACCAGGGCCATCACAACTTCTGTATGATGTAAGGTGATTGTGTGATAATGCTTTAGCGGCTAAAACTATGTGGAAAGACTCATGCTGTAAATAATAAAGCCTAAGATTTTCAGACGCGTGGCCATATGGATTTGACTCCAATCTTGGAGTCGAATCTAAAACCGGATGAAGGCATTGAAGTCTCACCTGGGAACTTCCGAAAAAAAAACATTTGGAGTATCTCTCGGTTATGTCGTGACTCCATGTAAAGTGATATGCCAAAAATTCCGCCCCACAGGGGTATCAAAAGAGTCTCTTTTGGGGCATCATATAACCCCAAAAAGAAAGAGTCCTAAGGGAGTCTTGACTCTATTTACGGGAACATGCCAAAAAGTCCGCCCCACAGGGGTGTCAAAAAAAAACTTTTTTTGGGCATCCGAACTCCGAAATATGGAGTCCACGTGCGCCAAGAAACGGCGTTTATGGACACCATATTGCAGTGTTATGATGCTCCAAAAGGGAGTTGTTTTGACACCCCTGTGGGGCGGACTTTTTGGCAGAGTCACCCTACCCCCCATTTGGTGTCATTTTTTCTTTCAGTGATTTCAGCCAGGGTCTGGTTTAAACCGGTTTAAACCCTTGGCGCCGCAGGGCCCCTCGGGTTCGAGGGAAGCTGAACGGGCACGTACCCCCTCGGACCTCGCCCCTGGCTATGCCACTGAATTGAAGTGATCAGGGGCCCTTCAGGTAAGCAGGTGCTTCTCAGGTGACCAGGGGCTTTCAACTGACCAGGAGCCCACCAGGTAACCAGGGGACCCTCTAGCCCTCGCACGACCAGGCCATTTCTCATAACACGAACGACCAGGGGGGGGGGGGTTGTTACGACCCCCCCCCCCTGGCGTTTCGAAACGGAAGGTCGTAGAGCTTAGCGGAAAAAACCAACGGATTGCTCTCAACGAGATCTCGCGATTGGTGGTATATTTTTTGGTCCTAGGTCAACATTTGACCTACTTTTGACCGGTCAAAGGTCAAATTTTCGGAAAAATATACTTTTTTTCAACTTTCCGCGGCGATTGCGGCAAGACGGTGGGAGATATCGACTTGAAACCTTCACTATCGTGTTCCTTGATCAATTCTCTATCGTTTGGTATGTATTTCGTTTCCCTAGCTCTAAAAATGGCGCGTTGGGAGGGCCGGAAGTCGGCAAGGTCACAGTCGGTGGCAGAAATTCGAAAAATCAAAATTTAAATTTTTGAAATCTGATTGTATTTTTGGATTTGGAAGGTCCATTTGCTCCTTATAGAAGCTAATATTGCTGCATATTCCCATTGAGGTGACAAGAATTAGCAAAATAGTGGTTCGGGCGCTTTTCAAAAATAGTACCGGACGCTGTTCCTCTTATGACGTCATAACTCCGTGACCTGACCTGACCCGGTCAAGTTTCTTGCACCACACGATAGCCAATGCTTGCCCCAACATGCATGGGAAGTTTCATCATGATCCATCAAACAATGTGGGTATCACCGGCAGAAAACCTAGGGATTCGGCGCACACGTTTGGTAACTGTCGGCCGGAGGCTGTACCTCTTATGACGTCATAACTCCGTGACCTGACATGACCCGATCAATTTTTTTTTTCGGCAAAAGATGCGCAAAGGTTGCCCCAGAGAATATTGAAAATTTCAGCCCGCTACGACAAGCCGTTTAGCGTGCACTTCGAAAAAACCTCAGGGGGGGGGGGGTTGATACAACCCCCCCTAGGCGTTCTAGGGCTAATAACCAGGGGCCCCTCATCCCTCAGGTAACTAGGGAACCCTCAGATAACCAGGGGCCCCTCAGTAACCGGGGCCCCTCAGATAACCATGGGCCGGCAAGGTCTCTAAGGGCCTTTATTTACCTCGGGTGAGAGCCCTTTGACACCAGCTGAGGGCTCTTTCAGGCATTCTGGAGACCGTTAAACGTCAGTTGAGAACCCTTCAAGGGCCCCTTCTAAGGGCCCTTTGACGCCAGCCGTGGGCCCTTTGAGGTCTTTTGAGGGCCGTTTGACGCTAGCTGAGGACCGTCTGAGGCCTTTTGAGTCCTGATGGCCATTTGACGCCAGCTGAGGGCCCTCTGAGCCAGCTAAGGGCCCTTTGAGTCTTGAGACCTTCGGAGGACCGCTTGACGCCAGCTCAGGGCTCTTTAACGCCCTATACCTAAGGCCTTTTGGGGTCCGCTTGACGTCAACTGAGGGCTCTTTGAGGCCATCCGAGGGCCTTTGACGCCAGATGAGGGCTATTTAATTTTAGGCCTTTTTCAATCATCATTTCAGCTCATTAGACGGTCCTCAGCGATCTAAATATTAGGGGCCCATTGAGATGGTGGTGGTGGCCTGGGGGGGGGGGGGCACGACCGGCACGGGCCCGTGCACTCAGTGAAGTGGCGGATCCAGGAGAGGACAAATAGGGCATTTGCCCTTCCCAAACGGCAAAATTTTAACATTACGCCTATAGACAGTGCATGGAAAGAAACGCTAAATTGTTATGGTTTGCCAATTGCCCCCCCCCCCCCCCCAACTCTGAGCTGGATTCGCCGGTGGGCCCGTGCAAGGCCCTAAAACATAAGGTTGGACGAAGTTTTCTACCAAAAATGTACTAGAATAGCGTACGAGTCAAAGCTATTTCCGTTGTTCCTTTACAAATATGTCGCAAACAAGCTTTTTCTGTAATAAATCATTATTTCGAAGTCAAGCAGCCAGTTACTATAAATTCGATAAGCAAACACTTATTTTTTATATAAAAGCCTAGCTTATATAGTCCAAGTCTAGTTGAATAATCAAGTAGCTACTAAATTTTCCAGATGTGACACATATTGCGCACTTCAGACAAATGCGTTGCTAAGCTCTTTTGCATGTTTTGCTGCGTGGTTTGTTTTTGTTATGAAGTGAGGGGAGTGAGATGGACAGGCTGTTTGATATTTTTTTTTTTTTGGTTTTCTTCTAGGACCGTCGCAATTATTTAACTTGACATACTTTTCTTGCTTTTTTATCCGAGGCTTTTTCAATAATTGATAGATTCTATCGTGGAAATAAAAGGGCCAGCTCAGGCCACAGGGGTAAATGCAAGTCGACTGAGAGTGAAATAAAAGGTAGAAGTGTCTGTTCCATTATAAATTTAATGTGATATGCTGGAACATGAAGCAACAGGATCAGACGCAAGAACCACCAATAAAGAGCCCAGAATCAGCAAGCGCCATGCCATCAAGAGCAGCCATGATGACGTTTGATTAGCTTTCAGAAAACCTTGGAACTATACGCCAGACGGTGAGCAATCAAGAGATCTTACAAGACCAGTAGTTACTTGAAAACGAGAGCCGCCAGGAAAATCAGCAGATTCTTCAATGGCAACACATTTCAACATCTATCTAGCAATGATTTGCACCAGCGAGGTGGCTATCATTGTGTTTTGTGTCTCTATCCCTAACTGCTCAAAAATATTTGTCAATAAATAAACAAACAAATAATGCGTCTTTTTCTGCTGAAAGTAAGTCCTCCAAGTGGCAAGGGATGAATAATAGCAGGTACCTAATTAATTGCCATCTATTCATTCAATTCATAAATCATAGGCAATTCAAGGCATCGATCGGCAGCGCCCTTACTGCATGGTACTGCGGATCGTCCATGGGTTTCTTGATGACTCCGACTCTGACTCAGACTTTCAAAAATCAACTCTGACTTTGATTTCAAATGTCGGCTCTGACCGACTCCGACTCCACAGCCCTAGCAGGTCTGCAGAGGCAATGAATTTTTGGTGACTCCGACTCCGACTCTGGCTTTCAAAATCGACTCTGACTCTGACTCTGGTCAGAACTGTCGACTCCGACCGACTACAACTCCGACTACAAAACCCTGAAAGGTCTGCTGAGGGGATCGAATTTCGGTGACTGACTCAGACTCCAGCTTTTAAAATCGACTCTGACTCCGACTCGACGACTCAGGTCAGAACTGTCAACTCCGACCGACTTCATGACTCCGACTCCGGAGCCCTACTGGCAGCTATCACGCCAGGGAGCTGCAAATCATATGTTCCGTGGCGGTTTATGGCATTTAAGTCGATAATGCGGCTGAATCGCACTATGAAACACCCTTATTGGCTGCAAGAACCACGAAAGTTAGCGCATCACCACTGGAAAACGTGACAAGATATCGATTAATTGGCCCTGGATTTGGATAAATAACATGTTGATGATCATATTAGCACACATTTACATTATCATCTATCTCAAGGTTGCCCTCCAGGCGGCTCTAAACTATGGCAATTTCCCTATCTTCAACATGTAAATGCCCTCGGGCGTCCTCGTGGTGACGTAGGCATGGGAGTGCCAGGTTGGTAGGAACTAGACTTCGACGCCCCCTGGGCCCGTGCAGATTGATCGTAATCCCATAACTCATAAGGACACTGAACAATTACACTGGTTCATGTTTGCTTGACATCTATATTATTCAGATGTAAAATATTTATGTTTAGTGGTTACATATAAAAAATAACCATTTGTATACGTTCCGGTAAAACAAATACATGCATATAATATTATTTGAGCTCTGGGATCTGGTACGTTTATTGCGCAGCTGTGACATTCAATTTTCTCTTTGTCATTACAGACGAAAAGGATTCGCTATCTAACGAGAAAATCGCCCTTATTGGCTTTTATCCCAGAAGACTGTTGACATCGGTGTAGTTAGTTCCGTGGTGTGTGGATCTCCGGCAATGCTTTTACGGCTTTTACATTTCAATTTCAGTAGAGCGGTATGCGTATGAGCTGGTATGAGTGCTTCGGAAATGGCTTTTGAAAATGAATTTCACCACTCGAGAACTCAAAACTCTTGTGTTGCTCGAGCCATAAGCTATTTGATCCACATGAAGCTGTCAACGCTTGTGCTGATTCTCATTTTCCTTTTGATTTTAATTCCACTAATGATGCATTATTATGTGTCTCAGGTGAGTCATTAGCTAACCAACAAAATGATTATGATAGTTGCAATTTAAAAAATATAGGTACATGTGCATGTGTATTAAAGCTGTCCATCTTGAGCCACCATATCATCATGAGCCGAGCCCAATAAGTCTCGGAACTTATTGTGTTGGTACACTCGGGGGCAGATTGATGTTCCACCACTCCTTACCTATCGGGCTCCCATGGCTCAGCACTGGCTGCTGCCAGTGGCAGCACTGGCAGCACTGGCACTGGCAGGCAGCGCTGAGCAGTGCTGAGGTCAGGCAACACTGGCAGCAGCTGCAGTGCTGAGCCATGGGAGCCCGATGGGTAGGGAGTGGTGGAACATCAATCTGCCCTTGAGTGTACCTATCTCACATTCTGGTTCAGTGCAACAAAATTCTAGAATTTAGACTGAAAAGAAGTGAAGCATTGTTTGAAAGTTTTGAATATATTTTAAGAAAATGGTATTAGTAAGGGTTTTTTATTTAGTACCTGAGTGACAGCTGATGCGTTTCTTTTCAGATTCTAGTTCATCAGACCCAAGTGGCTCAGAAGGCACATCCCCTGGTGACCAATGTGGACCTGAACAGTGACTCCTCAGCTCATCTGAAAGGAAGGATCGATGAAATGAACAGGATCAAAAGTAAGTGTCCAGATGTATGAATGCTTTGTTAATCAGCTTTTTTAACTTTGTGTTTCAATATTGTTTGAGTAGGCTTTTAACTGTTTTTAGCTTTGGGGCTATGCATCATTTTGTTAAATTGTTAAGACTACTCAGATGTTGATAAGTAAAAATAATATAGAATAACAAGTATGTTACAACATAAACTAATGAAACAAACTTGTCAGAAAATTGTACTGTGATGACCATTCTTTTTCTCCATCCTGCCTTCATTTGGTTGTCTCTATCTTGTTAATCTTTGCTGTTCTGTTTGATTTTCACATAGCTCCTTCTCACTTGGGTTATGATCTAGTTCCAGTACACCTGCTCCTTTTGCATTGAGTATATGCCTGTAATCCCTACATTTGTTTCACACCTCTGTCATGCGGACACTTGTTCTGCTGCCACATTTGCAGACTCTGTCAGTAACGAGCTGCTCCAGCTGGAGGCAAAGCGTAACAAGCTGCACCAGTCACTGGAGACATACAGCGGCAGGGTGGATGAGCTCAAGCAGCAGCTCTCCCGGCTGCAGCTCGAGTACGAGCGGCTCAAGTACAGCGTGGAGCGCGCGCGCGCCGCCGAGCTGGAGGCCGCCGAGCGCGACACCCCGCTGCTGGCGCGGCCGCGGCCGCTGCGCGCCGAGCCGGGCCCGCGGCCGGCCCTGGAGCCGCCGCCGGCCGCCGACCGACGCCGCTGCACGCTGCCGGAGTGCTGGGACTACTCGCGCTGCCCCATCACCGGCGGCTTCTCGTTCCACCTGTACCGGCCGCTGAGCGACGCCAGTGACGCGGCCGCCAGCCGGCTGCTCGAGGCGCTGCGCAGCAACGCCCAGTGGCGCTCCGACCCGGCCGCCGTCTGTGCGTACGTGCTGGTGGTGGGCGGCGCGCCGGAGCCGGCCCGGCTGCAGCGGCTGCTCACCGCGGCCGAACACTGGTCCGGGGACGGCCGCAACCACGTGCTGGTGGCGGCCAGCGCGCCGGCCGCCGCCGCCCTGGACTCTGTCGACACGGGCCGCGCGGTGCTGGTGAGGACGCCGGACGCCGGCGCGCCGCCGCGGCCCGGGTTCGACCTGGTGCTGCCCAGCGTGGACGGGCCGCTGCAGGGCGTGCCCTGGCAGACGCTGCCGCCGCTGGTGCCGGCGCGCCGGCCCGTGCTGGTCTCCTTTCAGGGCGAGCTGGCGGCCGGCCAGCGCTGGGCGCGCACCGACGAGTTGACGTCCAGCCTGCAGTCGCTCTCGCAGTCCCACACCCGGGACGTGGTACACACAGAGTTCCGGTGTCCCGAGGACGCGCCGGCCGCCGCGCCGTCCTCCGTCTCTGCGGCGGCCGGCGGCTGGCGGCTCTGCGGCTCGGCCCAGCAGCGCTCCGAGCGACTGGGGAACGCCACGTTCGCGCTGCTGCTGCCACCGGGCGGCGCGGTGCAGCAGCGGCTGACGGAGGCGCTGCGGGCCGGCGCCGTGCCCGTGCTGCTGGGCGAGTGGCCGCTGCCGTTCGACGGAGTGCTCGACTGGCGGCGGGCGGTGTTGCGGGTGGCCGAGCCGCGGGTCCGTGAGCTGCACTACATGCTGCGCTCACTGACCGACGGCGACATACTCAGCTACCGCAGGAACGGACGCGAGGTGAGGAATGGGGAGGGACGGGGGGGGGGGCGATGACAGGGTGAGTGAGGAGGGCTAGATTCGGCATAAACCATGTCGTCGTTTATGCCGAATCTAGCCCGCCTCGTCGAGGAAGTGTGAGGGGCAACTCGACCTGATACAGAGGTCTGATGATGGCTGAGTGAAGATACTCCGATATTGTGGTACTAGAGGATGGCTTAATGAGCACCCAGGAAGATCATTAGAACATGTGCATCATTAGTTTACTCATCATCAGCATGTTCAAGGTGTATCATGCTCTATCGACACGCGAGCCGTGATCAATCGTCGACGTTGCGGTACTAACACACTACAATACACTCCCCAGACCCCACCCCATTAACCGCCTTCCCGTGTCCCTCTGCTGACCGACAGCTGTGGGAGCACTACCTGAGCTCTGCCAAGGCGGTGTCGGACGCCCTGCTGACCCAGCTCGCCGAGCGGCTGGAGCTGCCGCCGCCGGCCGCCGCCGCCGTACCAGCACAGAGCGTCTTCAACGACACCTTCCAAGTACGTGGCACGATCGTTGATATATCACTGCTGATAATACACGACCACGATCGCCTGTTGGACACTTTTAGGAGCTAAGGACGTGGTCCCAAGGTTTTCATACGAGGGTTTTTATACTCCATGATTAAATAAATTGTCCCGCTTTGTCAAATCGGGCCTTATCCTGTCGCATCACCAGCCTTTGTATTCAGTTCCAGCACACAGCGAGTTACAGTGCTTTTTTACGTTTTTCTATGCAACTCCGTTTTGCCAGTGCATAACCACACTGTTGTCGCTATTCTCACGTTTCCTCTCCGCCGTCCAGCGTGTGACGGTGGACGTGCAGCTCTCCACGCTCGACCTGGACGAGTACCTGGGACCGATCGAGACGCCGCACGCCTCTGCGGCCTACCAGCGGAACCTCACCACACCCCGACTGGACAGCTACGCCCGCTGGAACCTGTTCCTGGCGCCGCACCGGCTCTACCCGGCCGTACCCTACGGCGACGTACTGCCCGCAGAGGCCAAGTTTGTCGGTATGTGACCGGCGGGGGGAGGAAAGGGGGATGCGATGAGTAGTCGTCACGAGACCAGCAGGATGTTGGTGGTTTTGTAGGAAATGTCGCGAGATATTGCCATGGTGACTGTGCTTGCTTCTGTCGACTGTTTCTGTCGAGTGATGGATTTTTCCAGCCTCGGAGCTGGCTCTTGATAAAACTGTCTTAAACCCGCATGTGGCAAATAATATCGTCACATTAATGTTGCAGTATTCCTTTCTGAGTCACTGGCTCAGTCTGTGCTGCGGCTCGTTCGCCCTGTAACCGCCACCTGCGCTCGGCCAGGTCCCCGGCTGGGCTTCCGTCCGGTGGCGGCCGGTGAGGGCGGCTCCGGCAAGGAGTTCAGTGAGTCGCTGGGCGGCAACTCGCCGCACGAACAGTTCACCGTGGTGATGCTCACCTACCGGCGCGAACAGGTGCTGCTCAGCGCGCTGGGCCACCTGTACGGCCTGCCCTACCTCAACAAGGTGGTGGTGGTCTGGAACACGCCCGAGCCGCCCGCCGACACACTCCAGTGGCCCAACGTCGGCGTGCCCGTCGAGGTGGTGCGCGTGGGCAAAAACAGCCTCAACAACCGCTTCCTGCCGTTCGACGCCATAGAGACGGACGCCGTGCTGTCGATCGACGACGACGCCCACCTGAGACACGACGAGATCGTGTTCGGGTTCCGCGTGTGGCGCGAGCAGCGAGACAGGCTGGTTGGCTTCCCGGGCCGGTTCAACGCGTGGGACACACGCTTCGGCGGCTGGCACTACAACTCAAACTACTCGTGCGAGCTCTCCATGGTGCTCACAGGTGGGTGGACGGCAGACGGTGGACAGTGGACGCCCGCCCGCTGGACGGTGAACGGTCGCAGCCTTGATCCTGAGGTCGCCGGTGCTGTTTCGCGATATATTACACATAGGAACTAAGTCGTGAATTTATCATTACATCTATCGCATAATTAGCCTAATTTCAATTTTCAACTTTACATAGTAAAACATTGCATTGGATAAATAAACTGCGTGAAGTAAATATACTGTGTCGACTACAAACGAACTAACCTGAGTGAACTGACCACTAAACCGCCCCTCTTTGCACCCCGCAGGCGCGGCGTTCTTCCACAAGTACTACGCGCACATGTACTCTGAGTGGATGCCGCAGGTGATCAGAGACAAGGTGGATGAATACATGAACTGCGAGGACATTGCGATGAACTTTCTCATCTCGCACCTCACCCGGCAGCCGCCGGTCAAGGTGGGTGGTGAGGGACAGCGAGACCGCAGCGTTGCTGTTGGGGGACAACGGGGCCGCAGCTGCAGTGCTGCCTGCTGGCGAGGGACAGCAAGGCCGCAGCAGTGCTGGTGGGGGGCAGCGGGGCTGCAGCTGGTGGGGGACAGCGGGGCCGCAGTGCTGTTGGGGGACAGCGGGGCCGCAGCTGCAGTGCTGGTGAGGGACAGCAAGGCCGCAGCAGTGCTGGTGGGGGGGGGGGGGGGGCAGCGGGGCTGCAGCTGGTGGGGGACAGCGGGGCCGCAGCTGCAGTGCTGGTGGGGGACAGCGGGACCGCAGCAGCAGTGCTAGTGGGGGATAGCGGGGCCGCAGCAGTGCTGGTGGGGGACAGCGGGGCCGCAGCAGTGCTGGTGGGGGACAGTGGGGCAGCAGCAGCAGTGCTGGTGGGGGACAGTGGGGCCGCTGCTGCAGTGCTGATGGGGGACAGCGGGGCTGCAGCTGGTGGGGGACAGCGGGGCCGCCGCAGCAGTGCTGGTGGGGGACGGCGGGGCTGCAGCTGGTGGGGGACAGCGGGGCCGCAGTGCTGTTGGGGGACAGCGGGGCCGCAGCTGCAGTGCTGGTGGGGGACAGCGGGGCCGCTGCTGCAGTGCTGGTGGGGGACAGCGGGGCTGCAGCTGGTGGGGGACAGCGGAGCTGCAGCTGGTGGGGGACAGCGGGGCCGCCGCAGCAGTGCTGGTGGGGGACGGCGGGGCCGCAGCTGCAGTGCTGGTGGGGGACGGCGGGGCCGCAGCTGCAGCTGGTGGGGGACAGCGGGGCTGCAGCTGGTGGGGGACAGCGGGGCCGCAGCAGCAGTGCTGGTGGAGGACAGCGGGACCGCAGCTGCAGTGCTGGTGGGGGATAGCGGGGCCGCAGCAGTGCTGGTGGGGGATAGCGGGGCCGCAGCAGTGCTGGTGGGGGACAGCGGGGCTGCAGCTGGTGGGGACAGCGGGGCCGCAGCTGCAGTGCTGGTGGGGGACAGCGGGACCGCAGCAGCAGTGGTGGTGGGGGACAGCGGGGCCGCAGCTGCAGTGTTCGGTGTTGTGTAGTGTAGACTGCGTTCAGGCATGGCATGTGTTATTCACTGATTAGCGTGTAGTTCGGTGGATTTCCTGGTCACTTCAACTCGTGACTGTTTGGTCATAATGGGTTAACCTCTGAACATGGATGACCAGACGGATTTTGGAGACCACCACGTGCACTGGTTATGTTTAACTATGATGGCTACAGTGACCACCACCATGCATGAGGTTTGTCTAGCTCGCAGCTCAAAGTAATTCGCGATGTCCCAGGTCTGGCCGCCTCCCCTCGGACCCCCCACTGCAGTCTCTGACCTCCCTCTCCCCCCTCTGCCAGGTAACGTCCCGCTGGACGTTCCGCTGCCCCGGCTGTCCGGTAGGACCAGTCTCTGACCTCCCCCCTCACCCTGCCGCCAGGTGACGTCCCGCTGGACGTTCCGTTCCGCTGCCCCGGCTGTCCGGTAGGACCAGTCTCTGACCTCCCTTCCCCCCCCCCCCTCCCTCAGGTGACGTCCCGCTGGACGTTCCGCTGCCCCGGCTGTCCGGTAGGACCAGTCTCTGACCTCCCCCCTCACCCTGCCGCCAGGTGACGTCCCGCTGGACGTTCCGCTGCCCCGGCTGTCCGGTAGGACCAGTCTCTGACCCCCTCCCCCCTCCCTCAGGTGACGTCCCGCTGGACGTTCCGCTGCCCCGGCTGTCCGGTAGGAGCAGTCTCTGACCTCCCCCCTCACCCTGCCGCCAGGTGACGTCCCGCTGGACGTTCCGCTGCCCCGGCTGTCCGGTAGGACCAGTCTCTGACCTCCCCCATCCCCCTGCCGCCAGGTGACGTCCCGCTGGACGTTCCGCTGCCCCGGCTGTCCGGTAGGACCAGTCTCTGACCTCCCTCTCCCCCCTCTGCCAGGTAACGTCCCGCTGGACGTTCCGCTGCCCCGGCTGTCCGGTAGGACCAGTCTCTGACCTCCCCCTCCCCCTGCCGCCAGGTGACGTCCCGCTGCCCCGGCTGTCCGGTAGGACCAGTCTCTGACCTCCCCCCTCACCCTGCCGCCAGGTGACGTCCCGCTGGACGTTCCGCTGCCCCGGCTGTCCGGTCACGCTCTCTGAGGACGAGGAACACTTCACCGAGCGACACAAGTGCATCAACTTCTTCTCCCGCGTGTTCGGCTACATGCCGCTGCTCAACACGCAATTCCGGGTCGACTCGGTGCTCTTCAAGACTCGGCTACCGCAGGACAAACAAAAGTGCTTCAGGTTTATATAGTGAGCGCGGGTGATAGAGACGAACGTTTAACTACAGACGGGTTATGCAGTGTAGTGTTGGTGCTGACATAAGACCGAGGAGGATTTTTGGTGCTAGTGACGACCAGCGACAGAAGACAGGGTGAGACGGTGACACCGTCAGCTGATATTTGGCAGCACGCCGTGGAGGCGCGAAGGGTTTCCTTCACAGCTACGACTTCTCTCCGCCCACTATTCGCGTATACTGTAGGTCCAACCTACATCTCACCGACATTAGCTAGTTTTTCCGATCACTGGCGGACCCAGCCAGTGACTGCGCACATTCACTTGACCTCACTGTTGTAGCTTTGTGACATGACCTGGCTGACACGCCGCTCCTGTAGTTTCGTCAGGGCATTAGCATACTCATCTCACCGGGCCCAGGCCAGCGCACTCGCCTCTCATTTGTGCTTCATAAATGGCGCTCATTATTGCAAGGCTATCGCTGTTATTTGCACATACGCTATATGTGATAGACTGAATGGTGTTTAGGCGGATGACAGTCGGCATTGTTTGTCAAGAACTGTGCAAGTGGCTGCGCGAATTGCCCGAACGAGTGTTGAAGTGACTGCTTTTGCGACGGTATTTTTTCTGCGAACTGCAACAGCTGATGTTTATCTGTGTATCATGCATGCACTACCATGTTGTATATTTTGTGCGCGGTTCGCACGTTCTCTGGCGGACTGCGTGCGGACAGAAAGGATCCCGTCTCCGCTGCCGCTCTATGTAGCATCGCCCTGTAGTCGCCCTGGGGCGAGTTATTAGGCCACGACCCCCCGTCGTGCTGATAGCGACCCAGCTTAGTCCTGTGTATTTTCTGAGGCCTTTTTTGTGGTATTGCGCACTTTGTTGTATTTGTCTGCGTATTTAACCCTAGCGTCGTGCAGTAGCAGCTCTGTACATGTGCCATATATTGTGTTGGGGGGGGGGGGGGAGACAGATCAGCAATACAGCTCCGTTTAATTGTATGTATAGCTCGGCGTGCTGAATAAGCGCAGTGTTTGTGCGATGGAGGGACGGTGCACGATGTTATGTGAATTAGTCTGTTTAAAATACAGGCATTCAATGCACCATAGCAGCTGCAGTTAAGCAACATCTTACGTAATCTGCAGCTTCGGAACAAGCCAGTGGGAGGATAGGATCAGAGACTGAAAGGAGATAATGTTACCTCACAGTTGTGCTTCTGTAATTCCCGAACTAACACTCCCACTATGTGGGTGGTACGCTTCATGGCCTTTCAGCACCGAGTAGGGTTCGTTACAACTCGTGTATTTGGTAAAACACCGAACATTGGCTGTGGACACCGACGGAAAGCAGCGGTTGCCGCGGTGTTGGCAACGAAGCCCACAGATCGTTTAGCCGCCGCAGTAATCAGGGAGTATACAATGAGAAGTACACAAAATAGTAGCATATTGGCATACCACAGACGACATTGGAGCCACGCTTGGAAATACATCGTTCTCCTGGGTAGATAACGGAGACATTTAACTGCTGAATAGGTGGACATCTTTAGCACCAAACATAATATGTAACTACAAAGAAACGTTAAACCGCGACTGTGCCCGACATTTAACATCCAGTGATAAGTACTAAATGAAAGCACAAGCACATTTTATTATCGATTCAGATAGTGTCGTTAGTAATAGAGATATCGCCGGCGATTGGCGGTAGTACGCGCACCAGGTCAGTGATTTTATCAGTGGTGACTAAAGATGGTAACACTACAGAGGGATACGAATACAGAGCACGTGGCATGCACTTTTTCTTAAGCTGCAGAAAGCACCTTCAGACGTCAGAAACGGTGACTAACCGGTAGAAACACATTCACATCTGGCTATCATAAAATCACTGACGTTTAAGGACTTATAACTAACGCGATGCGGCATCATTCGCTTCCGTTCGCTTGGACCTTACGCTAGCACAGTTCAGATAAGTAGACCATTGTTCTTAACGATCCGTTCAGGTACAATTCACCCATACGATAAAACCAATCACGCTTCTCGGGATGACGGTTAGGCCAGAACGGTATCATTTGAGATACGGGGGAAGGGGGGGGGGATAAGAAGAAGTAAGGAGTAACTATCTGTGGGTGGATTATTTACATCGCAAACATTTCGCAGAGACCCCGCAAGATTCAGATAAAGTTAAGCTTTCGGTGGTGGGAACAGTGAACAAAACTACAGCCGTCAGTCACAGAACCGACAGCCAGTACAGACCCCGACGGTAGATTACAACTAACTGCCCCTATCTTTCAGATTTCCGAACCGAGCTTCCTTCTTGGAAAGGTATAAAACATTTATATATTCCCTTCTTTGCAAGTACAAATATACAACCTCGAGCTCGCACCAGTTGCACCTGGCCATCTATCTATCAGTGTTCCGTCCTCCCGACATATGGCGCCTCTTGTCTCTCGGTCCATCTAATCGTCATTCCTATTCTCTTCAGCTCGTCCTCAGCGCCCTTACCACGGCGTCCGGTCGCGCTGGTGGTGCCATCTAGCTGAAGTCGCGGTTGGTGAGTATGAGCGGCGCCACGAGCGACCAGGCGTAGAGCGCCAGGCACACCCAGGAGGAGGCGATCTTCACCCACATGGAGGCGGCGTTCTTGGAGAGCGAGCGCAGGTCAGAGTTGGGACTGTGGGGACAGAACAGCGACGGTCGGTATTGGGAAGGGATGGATAGGTGGTCTGGTGTGGAGCGGTTACGGCACCATTCCAAAACATGCGTTACAAACCGCGGCGGTCTTTACTTTGGGTTCCGTTCGTCCTCACACAGGACACACAATGCGAAAAAATGAGCAATGGCCAATGAAATAATGATCACCAGTGAGACATTCCAGAGGGCTGGACTCAAACATTTTCAAAAGAAGCTAAGTCGTAGAAATATACCTTCTGAATCTAAAGCGTCAGGGGCGAATCCAGAATTGGAGGATCAAAAGCATGCGATAGCATGCTTTTGCATCCGGAAATTCCCATTGGTGGGTCGCTGAAGAAAAGTTCGGCCGAGCCTGTTTGTCAGTATGTATGTGAGTTTGTCCAAGCTTTTTTGGACCTGGAGTCAAAATGTGTGGACCGATCGGGACCAAAGTGGTACCGTTCGACTCGTCACCGGCGAGGTAAACTTTTGGTGCTGGCCTCGGTTCGCTCAGTGCTTCGTGGCACATGCTATTCCGCTTCAAAGTTTCGGTGACACGAAATTTTTTGTCAAGGCTACAGGTCAACCCAATGCCACGAACAAAGCCACACTGGTGGGACCCATCGGTAACACCTTGAACCAGTTTCCAGGGGGGTCACCGTCTGCGAGGGGTGCAGGCTGCACGTGCTGGGGGCGGAAAAACCGTTTTGACGTGGGGTCCTCTGGCTCAAAGAAATCTTGAACTATCGACCTCAAAATCGGTTCAATGGTAGTCCCCGGCAAGGCCTCCAAAATAGTGCACATTTGGTTGAGCTAAACTCTGTGGTGCATGAGCTATGCACGTGCAAGCCGATTGCACCCCTTCGTACGTTGCCACACCTGCAGGGTAAACGGCAGCTCTAACTGGTTCAAAACTTGCAGGTCATAAGAAGAATACATTTGATCATGACATTCCGGCGAGATAATATCAGAGGGGTGCAAGCTGCGCGTGCGGGGGGCGGATAACGGTTTTGACGAGGGATCCTCTGATCCCGGGAAACGTCGAGCTAGCGACACAAAAGTCGGTACACTGATAGAACTAGACACACGCTACAGGATGTTATGAAAATGACTGCACTGGGGTGCCTGAGACATGAACTATGCACGTGCAGTTAATTCATATCTTACTGTAGGTAGATATCCACACAAATCTCACGTGCTTCCAAGCATTTTTGGGATGTTTCGGTTGGTTTCAAGTTCAGTCCAAGCGAGTCCAAGCTCAGTCCGCTCAGTCAACTTATACGGCCTTGGCTCAGTCCAAGCTCCTTGCCAAGCTCAGTCTGGGTTTCGGTGGTTTGGTCCGGTGTGTGCCCTCAGTACCGTTCCTCCAATTCTGGCCCAAGGCAACGCAAGAGCGCTGCCGGCATCTAGTTGCACCAAGCGTAGCAAAGGCAATAACCATCCAACAATTCATGGAGAGCAATAGCTTAACGTGTTAAATCGTAGCCTGAAGCCCCGAATATTTATAACGAGATCTTACACCTCAACAAAGTGAAGATATCATCCAACATAAAGCGAAGCAAAATGAAACCCCTCCGTTCACAAGAGGTTTGTATACCAAAGCTCTAGCCTCTGACTAAATTGGACAAGTCCCTAGCATGTGATTGGAATCAATTAATGAGCGTGACAAGTAGAGGCATTAATGCCCCATCATGATTTGTTTTTCTTTTTGACAGCAACACCAATAATGCACAGCCAATAGCCGCACAACACTGTCAGTATCAAGGGCCGCATTAGCAAGATCACGCACTTCACCGTTAGACCGGAAAACATGTCGCCAAAACAGTCTCATGCTCTGGAATCGTGCTGCGTGCAAGTGGTTGAGTGGCCCGCAGGTACCGTTTACCTACCTTTCGTTAGGCCTGTAGATCGCAAGAAGAGGCATGGAAAGAAATAACTCTCAGTTCCTAATACCTACTCAGCATGGCACGGCCTAACTTGCACGACACAACAGACAGACAATGCAAGAGCGAATCGCATGCAATGACGAACCGGATATATGCAATTTGCACCACACAAAAGTTGGGGAGCACTGCTGTACACTGACTGGCTCAATACCATACATTTAAACATGCAACGAGGACGAACGTCATATCAATACACACGTTCTATCAAGTCATGTCAAATCCCATAGGAGAGTAAATTCGTAATTGAATAGTTGGTGTATCATAACTCAGAGCTCAAAAGCAATGTCATCAGGAAAATCTCATGAACAAGCACGGGGGGGGGGGGATACAAGACTCTCTTGGCCATGTCTTATTAGTTTCTACCTACCCTAGTACCCTACAGGCCTACAGCTTTCTACTGCCAGGTCATCTCTCCCTACTATAATTCGCACATATTCCCCATACCCCGTCCGGCTGCCGAGTACGTAACTAACGAGTACCAGTTAGTGGGCATCCATCACTATCGGGAGGTACTTACCGAGTACCAGTTAGTGGGCATCCCATCACTATCGGTAGATACTTACCGAGTTCCGATGAGCATCACACATAATAACCCATTGGCCTTCCCACCAGTCTATCAGGAGGTACTTATGACTTACGAGTACCAGATGGCGAGTATCCCACCACTATCGGTCGGTACTTACGAGTACCAGTTAGCGAGTATCCCACCACTATCGGTCGGTACTTACGAGTACCAGTTGGCGAGTATCCCACCACTATCGGTCGGTACTTACGAGTACCAATTGGCGAGTATCCCACCACTATCGGTCGGTACTTACGAGAACCAGTTGGCGAGTATCCCACCACTGTCGGTCGGTACTTACGAGTACCAGTTGGCAAGTATCCCACCACTATCGGTCGGTACTTACGAGTACCAATTGGCGAGTATCCCACCACTATCGGTCAGTACTTACGAGTACCAGTTGGCGAGTATCCCACCACTATCGGTCGGTACTTACGAGTACCAGTTGGTGAGCGTCATCATGACGTAGAGGGTGGCCAGCGCGAACATGATGTGGAAGAAGGACCAGCTGTAGGCGACGCCGTCCTCCTCGTTATCCCAGACCTGGGCCTCGGCGTCCTGCGGCGCGCCGCCTGCGACAACAGACAGGTACCCGCGTGATGAGCTCGTCCTTGTAAGGTCAGAACGACGGACGTACTACTCGCGGAATTACTGTGAAAAACTGCGTGCTTATGGGTTTAATGTACCGACGTTCTGTGTTCCAAATAGGTCCAACACTTTGGCTATTGAGCATCAACAGTGACTTGGTACTTGATCTTTTGAATCAAAGAAGTTTTTCAGGCTGAATTGGCTACTCAATAAGTGAAAAGCTGAAGAAACAGTGAAACGGATAAGGTTAATCAGTTTAAAGGTCTCAACAGCGAAGGATCACAATTATGAAACGCTTGCCCAGTGACAAACTAGGAATACACCCCATATCTTAGCAGATAGATTTAATCATAAGCACTAATGCCTGACCGGTAAATAAGGCCCCCGCTCTCGGCCTGTCTGGAAGATGGGAATGGGTTCCTCCATCGAAGACGTAGGACTGAAGGATTTGTTGACAATGTGGACGGTTGGTTTCTGATCAGTTTCTGGACATTTTACGAGTTGAACATTGTCGCCATAATCTCCTAGAACAAACGGAAATGCCACAACTGGAAATAATATAAAAGCGTATTTGTAGAATTGCCTTAAAAAACAATGTAAGAGAAAACGTAAAATTGCCACGCTGCTGCCCTTCAAAGGTCCCGCCCTTCATTGATACTTATGGATCATGTCTTTTCTCTCACTGAGAAAAGAAGCTTCACGTCCGCGCCAACCATTACTTACCAGAGCCCGCCTCATCCTTCAGCAAAATCTTGTCGGAGCCAGTGAGCTTGGCGTGCTGAGACGAACTGGCAGTGCTGCGAGTAAATACACACGGAGAGTCGGTTAGCGGATGGACAAAAGAGAGAAAGACAGGCAAGATGCACATTACATAGTTCTATCTCAATCTCGCTCAAATTAATTTATGGGCCACAATACAGCGATCAATATAAGAGGAAAAAGACTCATGCTAAAGAAAGCAGACCATTCACCTCACCACCCAAACCGTATCAAACCATATCCACCCGCGCAGCCCCCTCCCCTCGCTCACCGGATGCTCGAGTAGAGCACGCAGACGAACCACACCACCAGTCCGACGATCGACTCGGCGTCGAAGCCGGCGCCGTCCTCCGTGGGCGCGGCCGTGGTTCCGGGCGCGCCCGGCGACACCCCACTGCCGTCAATCATCTGGGAAAAGTTCGGCTTGCAGCTGGAGTCTGTGAACGGCAGCCGGGGACGGAGAAGGGGTGATGGTAAGTGGTGAGTGGTGACGATAAGCACTGAGTTGAATAGAAAGGAAGACTGCGAACAAATAGCGAGCTGCCATAGTATTATGCTGTTACACAGGAAAATGGATTAAGAAAGAAAGTAGGTAACTGAATGGACAAATATTCGCAGTAGGAGCGTAGTACCTAAATGCATATTTCCAGAAAGCAGACACAGTCGGAAAGTAATGGGTAATTAGGTCCGGACGGCCCCACAGAACCACAAGCGAGTGCCGTTCGCAGGCCGACGGCGTACCGGGCTGGTTGGCCATGGCGCTCAAACGGCGTACCGGGCTGGTTGGCCATGGCGCTCCAGGTCAGGTACATGGTGTACAGGGTGACGGCGGCCGACTGCAGCAGACCAGAGCTGGGCTGCGCCGCCTGCACCTTGGGCAGCACCGACAGCACCGACACCGCCACGCACAGGATCAGGTTGATGCTGATGAAGAACTTGTGGGTGGCGCAGCCGTCCGGCCGCGTGTAGAAGGCGAAGAACAGGCCGACGGCGGTGATGGCCAGCGCGTACTGCAGGAACGTGAAGAAGAGCAGCGCGCAGTACCAGCCCTTGGACTCGGTCTCCTCGTAGCGGGACACCTGGACGGACAGACGGGCGGCGTCAGAGGGACACCTGGACGGACAGACGGGCGGTGTCAGAGGGACACCTGGACGGACAGACGGGCGGTGTCAGAGGGACACCTGGACGGGCAGACGGGCGGTGTCAGAGGGACACCTGGACGGACAGACGGGCGGTGTCAGAGGGACACCTGGACGGACAGACGGGCGGTGTCAGAGGGACACCTGGACGGACAGACGGGCGGTGTCAGAGGGACACCTGGACGGACAGACGGGCGGTGTCAGAGGGACACCTGGACGGACAGACGGGCGGTGTCAGAGGGACACCTGGACGGACAGACGGGCGGTGTCAGAGGGACACCTGGACGGACAGACGGGCGGTGTCAGAGGGACACCTGGACGGACAGACGGGCGGTGTCAGAGGGACACCTGGACGGGCAGACGGGCGGTGTCAGAGGGACACCTGGACGGGCAGACGGGCGGTGTCAGAGGGACACCTGGACGGACAGACGGGCGGTGTCAGAGGGACACCTGGACGGACAGACGGGCGGTGTCAGAGGGACACCTGGACGGACAGACGGGCGGTGTCAGAGGGACACCTGGACGGGCAGACGGGCGGTGTCAGAGGGACACCTGGACGGACAGACGGGCGGTGTCAGAGGGACACCTGGACGGACAGACGGGCGGTGTCAGAGGGACACCTGGACGGGCAGACGGGCGGTGTCAGAGGGACACCTGGACGGGCAGACGGGCGGTGTCAGAGGGACACCTGGACGGGCAGACGGGCGGTGTCAGAGGGACACCTGGACGGGCAGACGGGCGGTGTCAGAGGGACACCTGGACGGACAGACGGGCGGTGTCAGAGGGACACCTGGACGGACAGACGGGCGGTGTCAGAGGGACACCTGGACGGACAGACGGGCGGTGTCAGAGGGACACCTGGACGGACAGACGGGCGGTGTCAGAGGGACACCTGGACGGACAGACGGGCGGTGTCAGAGGGACACCTGGACGGGCAGACGGGCGGTGTCAGAGGGACACCTGGACGGGCAGACGGGCGGTGTCAGAGGGACACCTGGACGGACAGACGGGCGGTGTCAGAGGGACACCTGGACGGGCAGACGGGCGGTGTCAGAGGGACACCTGGACGGGCAGACGGGCGGTGTCAGAGGGACACCTGGACGGACAGACGGGCGGTGTCAGAGGGACACCTGGACGGACAGACGGGCGGTGTCAGAGGGACACCTGGACGGACAGACGGGCGGTGTCAGAGGGACACCTGGACGGGCAGACGGGCGGTGTCAGAGGGACACCTGGACGGGCAGACGGGCGGTGTCAGAGGGACACCTGGACGGACAGACGGGCGGTGTCAGAGGGACACCTGGACGGACAGACGGGCGGTGTCAGAGGGACGACGGGACTGGCCGAGTCGGGGCACTGCCGATCGCCGGCCAGCGGGCCACGCTAATGGTGAGATCAGAACACCAAACAGTCAACAGGCCTGGCAACATGTGGCTTTGAGACCGATTTTAGAAGACGAAATTGTCGTACTAGCGAACTTTCATCAAATTTTTCCATCAAGATGGCTGTCGAGCACTTTTCGTATTACTACGCTTTTAGGTACCTGTTAGCTAAAGGACTACCTATTAGCATCGTCAAAGAGCCATCAGGCCGGCACGTACCCAGGACTCGGCCCAGCTGTGGGCGAAGTCGATGATCAGGATCAGCTGGATCAGAATAAACAGGAAGCCGCCGATCATTCCGAAATACATCCAGAACGTCAGGCCACCCGCTGAAAAAAAAACGGCGCGGACAACAGTCAACAATTAGTGACGGAGAAGTCGAAACACATAATAGACAACGTTATTTCAACCGTAACTATGGCACGCTAACATTAACTATATGATCAAATAGGAAGCATTGAATGCTATTCATCTCACGCTTGTATCTCGTACCTTGTCTTAGTAGCGAAATCGGAAAATATGCATTGCCTGCATCCAATTACGCTCACCTGGGATGAAGAATGATCCTACCATGCCGCCTATTAGTATCAGATACTTGATTGCCCAAAATCTGGGAAAAAAGTCAGTAGGTACTGTTACTTTCCACGAAAGATATTCACCTAACTAGACCAAGTACCTAACAAGTAAGAACAGATTGTCGAGACTTAAGAAATATAATGTTTTACATTTATGAAAACACTCCTTGGGCAATGGGCGGTGAATCAAGTGTAATAAGTGGCATCCCCTAATCACTTATGAGCAAGAGCTTCAAATGAAGGTCAACGTATATTTCACCCACGCCTGCGGCCGCCCTGCACCCCCCGTCTACTGACCCGTTTTGGAGACCGGCCCGGCCGTCCTGCACCCCCGTCTACTGACCGTTCTGGAGACCGGCACGGCCGCCCTGCACCCCCCCCCCCCCGTCTACTGACCCGTTCTGGAGACCGGCCCGGCCGCCCTGCAACCCCCCGTCTACTGACCCGTTCTTGGAGACCGGCCCGGCCGTCCTTGGACGATTTGACGTTGATCATGAGCAGCGCCATGAGCAGGAAGAACAGGGTGGTGATGAAGCAGACGCGGTAGACGGCCATGTAGCCGACCGCCGTGCTGCAGTCCAGCTGGTCACCGCAAAACGGCACCTGCCCACAGCCCACGCGGGGATGTTACAAGAATTACTGCACTGTTAATTAACCCGCGCCCCACTGGGGTCCGTGTATAACGCGCCCCTATACGGGGGGGGGGGGGCTATTCATAGCCCCCCCCCCCCTCCAAACTCCGAAACTACTAGGCCGATCGTCAAAATTCAAACGGCGTCAGATAGGCCTGGAAACACTGTCGAACGAAACCTAATTTCATTGACCTCGAGGTCAACGATGACGTCACAGGTCAGGTCAAAGTAAAAATTATCGATGTTTGGCTTGTTCACATTTTGGGCTCTGGCCGCCGTCTTACAAGTCAGATCAGGCTCATTTTTGGTTTACACACCACTCGTGTACAGATGCTTTAGATACCCTACCCTGAGAGTACCAAACTTGTATTTTGATTTTCAGGTCAGGGTCAAGTCATCACAGGTCAGGGAAATCTTATGTCATGCGTCGGTCACCGTGACACATGTTTTATGGTCCATTTAGTCCATAGATTTCGAACTCGATGTCGTTTATATGTCATTCGAGGTCATTTTGAGTCGAATTTAGCTTCAGGCCACTTCCAGGTAAAAAAAGTTAACTTTTAAAGTGGAAATTTTTCAACAAAAACATGTCTATCGCATGCAGTTTGAGCTCAGGAACACAAGATGGTGCTAGTTATATTGGTGCATGATGTCAAATACGTACTGAAAAATTAATTTCAAAAATGTATAATTGTGAAATTTTTGCTATAAATTAATGTGTATAACATGGCCATTTTTGAAGATATCTGGCTAAAACTTCCTAGAGTAAGTCATAAGCATGTGTTCTATCATACATATTCCAGTTTTTTTTTTCGAAAAGTTAAAAACTTTTTGAAAAAAAAAATAAAAATATAAATTTTGATTTTGCGGTCGAAATCAGCCGAACATGACGTCACTCTGACGTCATTTCCGGCCGACCTATGATAGCTACGAAGTTTTAATTTTGACACAAGGTGTCATATTGATGCAGCCGAAGGTACTGAAAGTTTGGCGGCGATACGTCAAGCGGTTTAGAAGTTATTGCAGAAAAACGGAAAGGGGGCTATGAATAGCCCCCCCCCCCCCGTGGGGCGCGGGTTAAAGGAATATACTACTTCTCTCAAATTAGTTTGTTTTTTGATACAGCTTTCCAATTTTATGCTAAAAATGATCAAAATAGAAATTGATAAATATTAAGAAAAGGAATTTGTTAACTTTTTCATATAGAAAGAACTATATTCAGTATATAATAGTGTTTGGCACAGAAGCTTAGTACACATTGACCAATCATGTTGAGCAGTTCAAAACCAGCTGCATGCTGATTGGCTGATGCTGAGGTAGCTGCATCATGGGCATTCTTCTAATAGTCACCACATTCCTGCGAAAGTCATTCATTTTGATTTGTGCTAATCTAGTCTCAGCTCAAGCTACAAAACTGCTATTCCAGTTCAAAACCCCATGTTAAAAGTGATATATTTCCTTAAAACCAGAGATACCAAGACAGTATAGGCATCAGCATCAGCCAGAATTGACAGTTCTGGCCAGAGATTACCAGAACTGCCAGAACTATCAGAATCACCAAAATAACTATGTTCTCTTTCACAAATATACCTATGCCCTAATGCTTGGTCTTCTAAGTTATTCATCCTATGTGATGAAAATGCATCCAGATGAGAGATAGGTACATTCCAATTCCAGAATGCATCACGCACACAATATTGTGACCATGGCTATAAAATCTGGCCGGTCATTGTTCTTCTAACATATTCATTCTCCAGGACTGGGCTAACAATTGAGGATTCTAAGCTTTTTGCAGCCCTAAATTCAAGATTGTCATTGTGATACCACTAGGCTTATCCCATGTTTTACTGAGCCTCAAGGCTTCAGTGTTCCATTAACTATTAAACTGAAGTTAAGCACACTCTCCTAGATCAGATAACCTCTGAAAACAATGAAGCACTGTCATGCCAATTGCCAGGCAAGTCAATTTCTGGCTTAGTCAAAGAAGACAACTATTCTGCAACCTTCCCACCAGAACTGACCTTTTGCAGCTGATCTTGCAGGCCGGGTGCCAGCAGCACACATGATAGTGCAGTCACAGCCAGCAGCATGATGGCGTACATGATACGCGAGCTTGTTGAATTGCGGCATGATGGGCAAGCCGAGCAGCACAGGCTGCAGGCAGCTGACCCACAACAGCATGCCAGCTGCGCCAAAAACATGAGAACAATCAGTTGCACCAAATACTCTCAGTCGCCTTTACTTTGAGCTTCAAATTTAATTCATTTCAATGAAGCATCTTAAAGGGACCCTCCCACCTTAACATTAGATTTGAGTTGAGATAGCCAAAATGGGGTCCCTGGCTCACAATTACCAGTTTCGGCACTCACAACATCGAGAAATGCCTTAAATCGGAAATATTGAATTTCAAAATTGCAGCATTTTGATTCAGAGGGGTTAATGCTAAGGAATACCCCTCTGAATGTGTGACGTCAGCGCAGATATCTAACGATTTTTAAATGTTAGACTAAAACGTTTTGTAGCACGCGGTGGTATATGCTATTTGCGCGCAACATCTGCCGCAAACGCCGCACTTCTAAAATAAAGTCGCTAGAAACAGCGGAGATCCCAAAAAAGTAAACAAAAGTAAAAGTCTAATATCTTGAAAACCGGTGAATATTTTTCGGTTATATTTGGTAGATATTCGTTTTCGCTCTTTCTGAACCGAGCGACATCACTTTCATGCCAATTCATAAACTTTTTGAAGGTGGGAGGGTCCCTTTAATCTAGGAACCTAGTTAGGTACCAGGTATGTACCACCAAATCAAAATGGTATAGGAAAAATATTTGAATTATCCTAACTAAAACAGCTGAGAAAGCATACAACTATTGATATAAATGCAAACAAAAATAAAAATCATTATCATACCTGTGAAGCTGTGCATATCCCGAGCACTGCGCCCATCGCTCAAACTTGATTTTGATTACAGTGCCAGAAAATTAAAATAATTGGAAGCGACCTGTGGTTCCGATTGACCTTCAACTAAATGTTGGAATTAAGTTGGAATACACAAATGCGTACCCAACCAACAACTCTCCAACAACTCTCTTGACAAACTTGTTGACAAATGAATCACACAAACAAAGTGATTGCAATAGAAGCTGTTCAATAGCAGAAAAAGCAATGCACTGTGTTGACGTTGCGTGGCAACTCGCTCGCTACCAGCTTTGAAATTTAAGTTGCGGCCACTATATTTTATACTGTAGGGAATAGATTAAAAATGATGTAAAGGGTGAAAAAAGATCACCTAAATATTCATTTAAAAAAAAAATATTTTACAGTATGTATATACTCATATGTAAATACATACCTATATACATAATTAATACACAAAAAATAAAAAATCATTCGCCTTACCAGTGACGTCAGCCAATGTGGTCTTCCTAGTTCCTACTGTCAATTGACAATGATTTCGTGAAAAAGAAGTGCATCTTTTTCACGAAATCAGGAGATATGAGGTATTTCGTAGTAGGACTACCTGTACCTGATTATAACCTGACCCTAACTGGAACGAAGTGATTTCTTTCTTAATTCACCGCCGCTGCGATAGTGATGTTTGTCCTCTGTTCTGTTCACCTACTGCTGCTATGTTGAAATAGAGGGGATATGGAACCCACTTCGATGTGTCACTATCAGACCATCGTCCCCGGGCGCGGGTTAATAAGCTCCTGAAGAGTCAAACGGTGTTAAGTACCTGCAAGACCTTAGCAGCACTATAAATAGGTCGGTTGTCAACTGTAGTTGAAGTGCGGTAAATAGGTACACATTGACATTACAGAAGGCATAATTCACGTTTTGTATTTTCGCTTTAATCGAAGCTCGCCATCACAACCGATTACGTTTTGAGTCCTTCACATTGAAGAATACACATTCCACATTACTCAGCCCGTTATGGATGATGGAGACCATGGAGGCGCAGTCGCAACGCCTTAGTTACATTAGGTACATTAGGTACATACCTATTGTTGTTATATAGGCTCTAGTTCACCGATCGATTGAGTATCTATCGCCTGGTGTTCCAGCAATATTATTCACAGCCGGCTGGCTTGCGGGTGCAATTATTTTCTTCTGAAGTACTGCGAAACCTTTCACTCCGCATCATCTACGCTTCAATTTCATCGACTAAAGGACCCGGCACGGTTACGGCCCAGAAGTCATGTAGCCCGCAGCGAGACTGCGCGGACCCAGCCGCTGAGCATGCCGCAGCGTCAGCAGGATCAGCACCAGTCGGCCGTGTAGGTGAAGTGGCTGAACAGGCTCTGCTCGCTGCTGCTGATGGCGCGGTGCGACACCGGTGGCGTCAGGATCGCCCGCTCCACCGTGAACGTCTCGTCAAAGTTCGAAACGTCCTCAATGCTGTCCTGGGAAGTGGAAACAAAGTCGTGTTAAGTAGTTTAACCCGCGCCCCGCTGGGGGGGGGGGGGGCAGAATCTGCCCCCCTCCCGTTTTTCGCCAATAACTTCTAAACACGTTACGCCAGCAACGTCAACCTTACGGTACATTATCATACATCAATTTGACACGTTCCCTCAAAATTTGAGCGAAATCCGTCGGAAAAAAAATGAGAAATTGACGTTTTAGTGACGTCATGTTCGCCATTTTCGCATCAAAAACGGCAAAATTTCAAACGCCGCTAACATCTTCAGTTTTAAAGGAATCAAGACGTAACAAAAAAGGTTATACGTGATTCTACTTGTCTATCAAATGGCTATCTCGGTTTTTTGAAAATTTTGGATTTTGGCCCAAATTTTTTCAAAAAACTGACTTTTTTGGAAAAATAATTATAAAATCTAAAATTTTGAGTGTATCAAAAAAACCGGAATATATGTCAGAGAAGTAGTCTATGTGCATCTACATACCAATTTTTAGAAGAATCGGTTCAAAAATGTGGGAGTTATTCAAAATTTTATGACGTCACCACACACAAAATTTTTGAAAAATGATTTTTTTGGAAGTTCTAGACCTCGTACGGAAACAAAAATAGCACCATTCGATTCGCCGTGAAAAACTGCATCAGATAGACACCTTTTAGGCCTTAACAACCAACTTCAAAATTTGACCTCACTTGACCTGACCTTGACCTGACCTCGACCGGAAATTCGTCCAGAGGTGGTCCATATCACTTATTGAGTATGCTTATTGAATTCTATGAGTAAAATGACCCATAAAACATGTGTCGCACATGCCCTTTTCTATATTTTGTTTTTGGTGACCTGACCTGGCCTGACCTGACCTTGACCTTGACCTTTGAATGACATTGTATGCAACGAATATTGTCTTGGTAGTCTAAGAACACGTTTTGGGCAATCAGTCTCAGTCCATTCTGCGGCAACTACGGTGCAAGGCCGATACTGTAGAAACTTGCATTTTGTACCCTTGACCTGACCTTGACCTGACCTCTGACCTACTTAACCCTATTCCTGGCGGGCTCCGCCGGGACAAGAAACTGGCGGGGGGGGCGATTCGGCCCCCCCCCTGAGATCTCGAGAACGAAGCAAGATAGCGACAAGCGGTAAACGGCATCGGATACGCATGGACAAGGTCTACAATTTTTACTAAGGTCATTTTCAGGTCAGGTCAAAGATGACGTCACAGGGGTCGAAAAAGTCAAAATGGCGGCGCTAGATATGGAGAGAGTTTTTCTCGAATAACTTTCGAATTAGTCAAGATAGGAACAAACTAAGGGCATCATCGTGATCCTCTCGTCAATCCGCATCGAATGATATATATGTTGACCTCGAAAGGTCAAGGTCAAAGGTTGACCTCAGGTCACGTGACCTCGAGGTCATCATGTATATCATTCGATGCGTCTTGACGAGCTGAACACAATGAGACCATCCACGCGTCTGTATCTTGTTCCTGTACGGAGTTATTGGCCAAAAACCTTTGGTGACCTTTGATGACGTCACATGACCTCACAGCTGCCCAACAGCAAAACAGACCTCAAGGTAGTGAAGGTTGATCGTATATGAAGTCATGTATGGTATATGGGGCCATTCCGACCCGTTTTAGTGGTAAAAACAGGGAGTTGATTTTTCCCCCATTGACTTATAATGGGGAGGTCGCGAAACTGACCTGACCTTAGGTCACCGATATCAAAATTCCGAGATATACAAATTGCACATAATGGTACCCTAACTAAAGCCTGAAGAGAAGAAATTGATCGGTCAAAAACTCTAGCTCTGGCGTGATTGCAAACTTTTCTGAGGTAGGGTCACCAAACCGCCTCTGGTGACCTGACCTGAGGTCAGATCAACTCAAAATTTTCAGACATGTTGCGTAGAAGCCTTTTAGGAAAAGTCAGAAAATTTGAGCTTCCTAGCTCAACGCGTTTGGGAGAAATAACCAAAAAACCTCAGGGGGGGGCTCCTGAGGCCCCCCCCCCGCCAGGAATAGGGTTAAGCAAAAAATTTGGGCTCTTAAGATCCGCCTTGTGGAGAGCTTTCGATTGCCGTTTTCCCCGTCTTTCTACGACCATCGGTTCGGAAGTTAGACAGGGGGGCAGAATCTGCCCCCCCCCCCCCCAGCAGGGCGCGTATGGCTGAATAGCCCAGCGGGGCGCGGGTTAACAATCGAGTAGCATTGGCAAAAGACACGATCCAGGTCCACGTGAGGGGCAGTGCACTGCCAATTCACAATGGCAAGCGCGTCGACAATCTGTCGACTTAATTTCAAAATTATGAAAGTTTTCTTTTTGACTAAGCTTCGACTATACTGCATACGTTTGTAAGCATATAGCCACGGATGAGCTAGTATTATCACATCCATGATATAGCCGTAACTCAGATCTATTTTAGATCTATGACAGCGCCACTGACCAGGACGGGCACGAACGGAGGTGGGACCCGGCGCGCCGCCAGCTCCTCCCACTGCACGCTAGCGAAGAACGCCTGTCGCTGGACGTCGCGGGCTCCTCCGCTGCCGGATCCCAGCCGGCGCACCGGGTCCTTCCGCAGCAGCTGGCGGCGCGGGGGCGAGGGGGGCCGTCAGCTGGGCAGACAGAGGTGGATACTGGATGACAGTGGAATGGACTGCGAGCTAAATACTGGCGACTTGATAAGAGCGTCAAACCTTTGGATGGTTCTGGACTGAGTTAATTTGACAATCAAAAAATTTGTATCGTTAGTTCACGATTGTGTCACGATTGACGATCTGCATATGTCGATCGCATTTACCTCAAAACTTATTCGTTAATTGATAACTAGGTAATGTGTATTGTGTATGTCCAGGCACCCCCCCCCCCCTCACCCATCCCTGCCGACCCTCTCCGTCCGCTCACCCTGCGCATTACGGCTACGGCCGGCAGCGAGAGCTGGGCCGGGAAGCGAGGCGCCGCCTGGATGATGTTCTCGAACACCTCCTGCTCGTCAGCGCCCGGGAACGGCGACTCGCCGACCAGCATCTGGAAGATGAGCACCCCCAGTCCCCACCAGTCGACGGCGCGCGTGTAGGTCGACTCTGTGAGCACCTCGGGCGCCAGGAACTCCGGGGTGCCGCAGAAGGTGCCCGTGCGGCCAAACCGGCCGACGCCCTCCTTGCAGAGGCCGAAGTCGGCCAGCTTGACGAACCCCTCCGCGTCCATCAGAAGGTTGTCCAGCTTCAGGTCTCTGCGTAGGAGCGCAATTAGAGATGTCAGGATTACCAGTGATTGCTGTATGTAGGCGTGGGAGAATCTCACAGCTGTTTTGTGATGACAACACGAAAATTCATACGCATATTAGGGAGGCTTAGCGAACGTTTTTGGGTTCCATTGTATCCTGCATGGTGAACAATGTCACACCCATCACTGACCGATAGATGATGTCGTGCTGGTGGAGGAACTGCAGCCCCAGGAGCACGCAGGCCGCGTAGAACACAGCACGCGACTCGGAGAACACGCCCGACTGGATGTGCATCATGAGGTCGCCGCCGGGCGCGTACTCCATCACAAAACACACGTGCGTCTGCGGAGAAAGAAGGCGTCACAATCTCCGGCGCTGTTTGAAAATGACGTGATATTTGAATGAAACTGAAAGGACTTGATGCTTCTACGACAGAGATGTGTTGTTCAATATCCGTCTAAAAATAGAGAAACCTCGGAGGTCTGAAGGTTTAAACGTTTATCACTACGTTCACTGCATTCATTTTATTGCCGACGATATCGGTAGCTTTTCAACGTCACCCCGTCTTCATCCCCTCAACAAACTACAATGAGGCGCTTTACTGCCTACGGCCAGTGCAGTGTTGGATCCTGCGACCGGCACCTTTCCGTCTCCCCCCATCACCGCCGGGTCCACCCCTGACCCTGCGACCCTCCCTGTCTGTCACTGACCGGGGTCTGCAGACACCCGAACAGGTTGACCAGGAACGGGTGACGCACGGCCGTCACCAGCTCCAGGATACGCTTCTCGGCGAGCAGCGACTCCAACTCGTCCCGGTCCATCACGTCGGCCTTCTTGAGCGACTTGATGGCGTAGTACTCGGCCGTGCTGCGCCGCTGAGACAGGATCACCTGCGGGTGGGACGGTAACGCGGTGTCTCGGGCCAGCTCCCGCTAGTATTGGGCTGTGGGCTGTGGGCTGTGGGAACTTCGGCTGTCAGATATTCAATACATTGGTCGCGAATGACAAGACTATTCTATAGGTATCCAACATCCTTTGTGAAATGCAGCGACTACACGAACACTCTGACATCGTAACAGCAGCTAATTGTTACTCACCTTGCCGAAGTGGCCGCGCCCGAGGACCGCCACCGTCCGAAAGTCCTCCAGAGTGAAGTCCGGAGCCAGGAGCGGGCCGTGAGACAGACCGCCGTCAGGTTCACTGCGGTCGAACGGTGGCTGCGGCCAGTACGTGGTCCGGGCAGAGTCCGGGGTCTGCCGGGGGACGGGGTGCAGGTCAGAGGTGAGGGGCACGTACTGCTACGAGACGACACATTGAAATAGCAATGCATAGGAAAATGCATCGCATAACGTAATAGGACATGCTTTTAAGGTATATCATCGCAATTCTTGAAAAAATTTAAGGAAGAAAAAAAAACTACGAATGAGGCAAAGAAACGTTTTACTGAGCACGTGAACGCAAAATTTCTCCCGTATAAATCATGCTCTTTGAACTTGAACAGCGAGTGGGTGGGTTGTTTTATTTGGCGCATGTGTGAGAGGAACAATCCGCGTCTGGCCCTGTTACTGACGTCATCCACATAGCGTGGGCGGTCGGCATGTATCTACGTCATGGAGTCTGGCACTGCAGCTGCATTGTTACAGCGAGGTAATGTGTTCTGAGAGCGACCAGGCATCGTTGGTACAGTACGAGGAAATTGGTTGAGACGATGTAACCTTTAGCCCTATGCTGATACCGAATTAGCAAACTAATGAGAAATATGAACGACACTTTTTGTCGTTCTCTTACATATTGAACAGCCATTGCAATTGTACCAGTAACAACATATATTCTTACAGCATACCAAAGTAGAAAATAGCTAGGCTAACGTGAATGTCTATTTATTTAGTACCATAATATTATGTATGTACTCAAACCACCCACCGTATCATCGTCTGGTTCGTCGACCAGCGGCGACACCAGGCTGAAGGTGGTCTCTGACCCGGCGGTTAGCAGACGGACGCGCCCCGTCAGCGCCTCGCTGCCCTCCGAGCTGTCCGTCAGCAGGCTGAGCTTCCGCAGCTCACTGTCGGTGGCCTCACTGAGCTTCCGGAGCTCGGAGCTGCCGGTCGGGAAACTGATCTTCCGCAGTTCGGAGTCGTCAGTCGCGGCACTGGTTAGTCGAATGTCTGAACTGAGCGTTTCCACGCTGAGTTTTCGCAGTTCTGAGCTGTCCGTTTCGACACTCAATCTCCTCAGATCGGAGATTTCGGAGGAAGTGCTCAGCTTTGGGGTTGGCTGGGATGAGTGGGTGATTAATGGGATGGAGAGTTTTGCTCGTGCTGCTCTTTGGTCGAAATTACCCGTCATCTGGTTACTATGCTCGCAATCGGTGGGATTCGTAACCTTCTCAGAATTATCTATCATCTCGCTATTGTCTGACCGAGTCTTTGTTACGTCTACACTGTCTGTCACTTGCAATCTCAGTTCATTGTCTTCGACATCCGTGGTCTCTAATGAGATAGCGTTCGTTTTTCTCAGCCGTGGTTGTGCTGTCTCCGTCCTCTCGGCGTCTTCCAGCTCAAGGTCCAGCTGCTGGGACGGCACGAAGCACTCGGTGGTCTGTCTCACCAGTCCGGTGGAATGGTCGCTGCCGACCGGACTCTCCGACCTCTGACGAACGAACACGGTGGCGGAGACCTCTCCTTCGTGTGGGGCGGCGCCCTCAGATGGAGTAGATGTCGATCTGGGGGCAGAGAATGAGGCATCAGTGGCGAGTGACTTTATTGGGCGGAGAAAGCATTTAAATGCTTTCGAGTTCACCAGTACATGAGTTTTTAGATTTCACGAGGATATAAATGTTAGCTAAATGCTGGCTATATGTTAGCTGAGCTAAAAGTTAATCCTTTGGACAAAAATAACATCTCCAGTTTTAATAAACAAAACCGTTTCTGTGATAGCCCATTCGTGCAGAATTACCCCGGTTCAGTAAGAGTTGAGTCGATTCCGTTGCAGGCGTCCACTGCAGTGGCCGAATTTCCATCGGAGGACCTTGGCGACACGCTGGGTAAATGTTCAGTGGGCTCCTCCATATCTTCTCCGGTGCATTCTGTGGAATGGCGGCCCGTTCTCGATGGACATCGGGCTCGGTCTGGAAAGATTAATGACGATAAGCAATAAATGCGGTACTTTCGGGCTTAGTCGTTTATTTACATAACGTTACGATTTCGCTTGGCAGGTAGGGATGATAAGAAATTAGGGTCAAATTGAGTCATTGCGAATGTTTTTATTAATCGAATACTGTTCTCTGTAGAGTATCTATTTGTGACAATCCTAATTTTCATGTGTCAGTAAAAGAGCTTTCATTTTTTTCACAATCAAACAGGACTTCTGCCTCTTCTCACCAAGTCTGCGCACTGGCAGCGGGTGGAGCACCCTGGGCGGCGGGCTGTCCGCCGCCGCCGCCGCCCCCGCCCGCAGCGGGCGGCTCCAGGTGGACAGGGCGATGCTGAGCTGTTCGGGCGTCAGCGGGCGCCGCGGGCCCCTCCGCTGCACCCGCCGCTGAGGGCGCAGACGGGACCGCCGGCCGGAGTCGGCGCTCTGCACGGGCCTCACCTGGGGCCGGAGAACGGGGGCGTGGGGAAGCTGAAGGCGCTGAGAGACCAGAATTTAGTCAGCCGATCGCTTAAAAAGGGTCAAGATTTGACCACTGAAACGACAATTTGGCCAGCTGGTTCCATAGGTTGTCACATGGGTCTTTGCACGCCCAGGTCTATTGTTGTCATTAGATGATAGCATACAAAAACTCAATGAATGAATCGTAACTAAATTTCAGGCTATTTCAGTACAACCGACACGAAATTATAAACCAGCAACGTCGGCGTGCTTCCAAATTGGTAGCCCACACACCTGGTTGTCATGAGAAATGGCTCATCTGAAGCCCATAATTTATCAACACCGAGCCGAACAAAATGCTCATCCAAAGTTTTATAGAGTCTGATCGTGAGCCTACAGTGTTCGGTTCACAGACAGGATTTGATGTTTTAACACCGTGAACGCGAAACTTGTCGGGGTGGATCTAAGCAATCGCATGAAGCTCCGTAAACATCGACATTTTCAAAGATGGCCCGACGATAGTTACGACATCAAAGACCTTTAAATATTGATGTGATAAAAACGCTAGGTATCTGCGAGGCTGGGGAATATCACGACCGGCACCTGTACGAACAGAAGCCCCCGGGGCTGGAGCTGCAGGGCCAGCGACTGCCGCTCCTCCCCGGCGATATCTCCCAGTGTGAGCCAGCCGACAGCGCACAGCGACCGACTGTCCCGCCAGTAAACATCAATCTGTGGACGTGGACATATCGCGAGTAATGGCAACACTGATGAACCTTCGAAACGCAGCTGTTTCGAAAGGGAACTACTGCTTTTAAACACTTGCGCACTCATTCGTATATTTTAGGAGCGCTCGTGTATTGCGGCGCAGTCTACCAACACTTTCCTTGGAGGTAGACTGTACCGCACGACATGGCTGTGCGGCGGTACAGCATTTTAGACGAGTGTTTTTTGCCGTCAAAGCGTTAGCTGTAAACTCGCATCATCTCCAGAATTTTGCCATATGTTAATTAGCAGATAAGTTCACATAAAATAGTTCTTACTTCTAAGTGTAATATCTAGATCAATTCCGATTGCAGTGCGATTTTATTTTACTTATGCACTTTGGCAAATGAATTAGAATGGCCGTTTTCACGACGGAACTTTCGCAGAGGAACTTATTTGATACCTAAAAAGTACCTACCCTTAGAGGCCTTAACATCCCTCAAACTGAAATATTTTATGTTCAAAATAATTTTAGAAGTTTAAATCTGGGCATTTGTTGCCCTCAAATCACTTATTTATTTACAAACACAGCAATTTTTGGTTCTAGTAGCCCACCTTTCGACTATGAGGTATTAAATCAGCGTGGCAACTTGCTCCCTCTTTGCTCCCTCGGGTATCTAATTCCGGAATTCTTAAAAACAAGGAAAGTATATATCGAGTTCTCTTTTATACCTATTCAGTTATGTTTTAATGGTGATTAAAATATGACAAATTTTTTAATTACATTTCATATAAGAAAACACGCAAAACAATGAAACAAAAATAACTACGGCAGATAATTACCTTCAGGTATCTAATTCCGACCAATCAGCACCTCAGTAGGATATGACGTCATACAAGAATGGTGGTGAAGGCCGTTTGCAGTCCCGGCCGGTAGGTCACGTGACCGCCGGGCGCCTCGGGTCACGCGGCGGTCGGGAGTCGGACGCGGGGCGTGGTCGCGGGCGGACGCGCGGGGCATCATGCTTTGCTTTGCTTGCTTTGTCGACTTCATATAACTTACTATCGCATTCGTGTGAAAGCCAAACACTGCTCAGTGCCCTTAGAAATTGAGTTTTGGAAAGCTCAAGTCCCTATAGCTCCTCAGGTCGGCAACAGTTGAAGCCTCATCTGAACCCATGTGAAAAAACGAGGGTAAGGAACCTTGTGTTGCTTTTTCTTTTACCGTCATAATTATCTCAAACCATCACAATTTTGAGTTGCCACATTGTCTGCTTCACTACATTCGTGTAAAACTTGGGTGAAGGCTGGTGGCTCAAAGAAAGGTGAAGATATTTCTTTAAGTGCCTAATCCGTGAAATTGAAATATCCCGGCTTTACAAATCTACACTTTTCTTTTTCTCCACGATACATTTTTTAAAATTGTTTAAATTTTATCTAAATTTGTTAAAATCGGGGCATTGGTTTTTTGTAAACTAGATCATAAAGTTTACTATAGTTTTGTGTAACCTGATGGCTGAAGAAAATAGTAATTTTGCTAAAATGATGTGCGGAAATTTGTTGCTTTCCAAATCAAATTACTCATACCTATATTTCATTCAAAATTAGGAGGCATTATTACTGTTTTTTCTTGTAACATGAACTGAGTTTGGGTACGGTGCTCCGGAAACGTTGTGGAACTTTAAGCTAGCTAGAGCAGTTTCCATAAAAAATTGTTTAGATAGTTGACATGGCTTATTGACAACTCTTTTGCTGTTTCTAAAAAAGTGAAAAAAAAAATATTTTCCTGCATTAACCCGCGCCCCGTAGGGGGGGGGCCGAAACGGCCCCTCCCTGTCCTTTTCGGTCGATATCTCCTAAACGGCTGGAGATATCGCCACCAAACTTTCAGGACCCCTCCGGGCATCAATTTTACACATTGTGACCAAAAATTTTTCCTGAGGCTGTGATAGGTTGGCCACAAATGACGTCAGAGTGACGTCATGTTCTGTCATTTTCGACCGAAAAAAGACCTTCGCGAGAAGACCTGTCAGGCCTACAGCTTTGAAGATACAGAAAAATGATCAAGACATAAAAGGTGTAGAATTGACAGGGCTACAAAACTGCTATCTCGGATTTTTGAAATTTTTGAGTTTTGATCCCCAAAAATCAAAAAAGCATTTTTTTGGATATATTAGCCAAAAAATCCAAAAAGTTTTTTGAGTTTCGAAAAAACCGGAATATATGTGATAGTACCTACCGTCTTCTATCTACATACCAAATTTCAGATCGATACCTCGTTTTTTGGCCAAGTTATAGCGAAAAAACTGTTCAAAAATGATGACGTCAAATTTTCAAACTCAATTTTTGGCAATTCTAGAACTCGTAGAGCAAAACAAAGACCACCATTAGACTCCCCGTGATGAGCTGCATCGAATGGATACCCATTTTATGCAAAAATATCAACTTTGAAATTTGACCTAATTTGACCTGACCTTGACCTGACCTTCACCAAAACGTGACCTAGGCTGGCCCCAAAGGCTGCCTAACCCACATAATCGCATTTGTCATGTAAATTGGACCATAAAACATGTATCACACGACACATTCAAATTGTGACCCCCGGTGACCTGACCTCGCTGTGACCTGACCTGGTATCAGTGACCTCAGATAGCAAAGTATGTGTTTGACGAACAATATACCATCGATGGTTTTCAATAAATTACCAATTTACTCGATTTCACAGCACATTTCTTGAATTGCCTGTGAACGGTGAAAATCTGACCTTTGACCTGACCTGTGACGTCATCGGTTTGACGTAGGTCAATGAAATTTGGTCACAAGGTAGTTCCCGGGTAGGGCTATCAAACGCCGTTTGAATTTTGAAAATCGGCCGGTAACTTTCCGAGATCTTAGGGGGGGGCCGAAACGGCCCCCCCCCCCTACGGGTGGTAGGGTCCGCCGGTAGCCCTACGGGGCGCGGGTTAAGCACACAAGGCATGTTATTCTCATAAGCTATCGAATGTGTGTGTGTTTGTGTTTTTTAAGCTGTTTTTTTAAGCTTTTAAGCTGTAACTTCAGTTACTTCACTTTAGAACATATTGCCCAGAATGCGTCACTGATCATGAGCTGGTATATCATATCATATGTAGCAAATACATAAATGAGAATAGTGTGTCATGAATTTTTGTGCATGCTTCTGGATCATCTGTAATTACATCAAAGGCTCGGCTCAAGAGTGTCCTGCCGACCAGCTTATGCCCAACCCTTTCTGTCCGCAGAACGTCGCCTGCGACTCCCGCACGCCGTTTGCCCCGGCCGTCCGTACTGGTCTTTGCGCTGCGAGCCGCGCTGGAGTTCGCGGCGGCGTCGTGGAGCTCCCATCGGGACGGCGTGTGATGCCCGCGTCGAGCTTATAAGCCGTGAGCTTCGATTGGCGGCTCACGCGGTCACCAGCTGTATGTACAGCCTCGGCCCCGACGACCCCGCTAATGGCCGAGACCGGCATACCCCCGGCATGGGTCCGCTGTCCGGCGCAGCGCTGGCCGCCCGCATGCTATGCTACTTTTGGCTGTATCGCTGCCCAGCGGGAGCGCGCTCCACGCTGCGGAAGAGGTACACGTTGCGACCCGACTGAGGACTGCAACCGGATGGTGACACGTCGGCCTCTGCGCCCTGGCCGGGGCAGGCGTGACCGACGTCACAGTGGAGGAACGCCCAAACAAGACCAGCCCACCGTCGGAGCAGCATGGAAATATCATGTTCTGCCTGGACGTCGGACCCGGCGGCCGCAGTGCACCTGCACACGTGCGGAGAGGGGCGCTGGAGGCTACTCTGGAGCTTCTGCCATTCCGCGGCGCGACTGCTGGCAAAACGGCGGCGATTGAGGCGGTTGGGAACAGCTGCAGCAATGGTGATGGCGGTGATGGCGACATGGCGGTTTGGGACTTCATCTCAGCGCGGCCGCCGCCCAGGCGCCGCTGCGCCCGGCTGCTCAGCCACCTACCGGATGGCGGGGTGGCCCTTACGGCCCTCACGCCCGTTCGGTCTGCGGCCACGTTGTGGGGTGGCGGTCGCGGGGTTAGCGGCGTTGGACTTCGTCCTCAGGGACGTATCCAAGGGGGGGGGGGGCGACGGGGGCGGTCGCCCCCCCTGGGCCCTGCCGGGCCCCAAAAGCGGACCCGGCAGGGCCCGCTAGGCGGCAAGAAAGCGGGCCCGAAGGGCCCGCTTTGGGGCCTAGTCAGGAACAATTTGGGGTCGGCTGGGCCAAAAAGCGGAAGGGCATGTTCAGAAGGATTTGTTCGAATTTTTTGGTTCGCGGATGGGCCCCTGGGGCCCTGCCGGGCCACAAACAGGTCCGTAACTGGGCCCTTCGGCCCACTTTTGGGCAGAGCGAGGGCAATTTGGAGCCCGACAGGGCCCCAAAAGCGGAAAGACCCGTTCAGAAGGATATGCTCGAGCCTTCGAGCTTGAGGAAGGGCCCCTATGGCCCTGCCGGACTCCAAACGGGTCCCTTATCGGGCCCAAAGGTATCGCTTTTGAGCTAATTGGCCCCGGAGAAGTTATGGTTAGCGGATCCGAAAAAAAAATCCTCTTCCGTGCCCAGTCGCAGGGCCTGTCTGTGCCCTAGATGTGGAAGGGCCCGCTGAGAAGATCTTGCCCAGGCTTTCGGGTCCAAAAAGGGCCCATAGGGTCTTGCCGGTGCTCATATGGGTCCCTAGCCGGGCCCCACAAGCGGACCGGGCCAAGCCAATGACAACCGGGGGCCCGGGAGGTCTACAAAAGCGGAAGGGCCCGCTCAGAAAGCCTTGAAGCAGGCTTTTGAGCTTAAGTATTGGTCCCTCGGCCTCGACAACGTATCAAGAAAGCGAGCCCAGATATACACTTCCGTGCCCAGTCTCAGAAACAGCTTGTCCTGGCCGGGCCCCAGAAACGGAAGGGCCCGCTGAGAAGGCCCTGCCCAGGCCATGGGGCCCGAGGAACAGGCAACAGCCGATGATGGGACCCTTTCGACTGACCTCATGGGGCTGCTCCTGTTTACAGTTCTC